CTGCTACGGAAAAGGGAACACTTGATTGACATCGACTGTATCTGTTTCTGTTTACCTAGGATGGAAAATCCCGAAGTTTTACTGTAGAAACTTCCTTTGTTCGATTGTAGGCTTCCCATTTCAGTTTTTTGAGAATACCTGCTTCTGTCTTTCCTTTGTTATTCTCTGTTTTTAGGGAGGTGTGCTGTTTGTCGGTGGTCTTTCTGGCTTAGACGTTCAACTTCCAATAAAACTGGTGGCGAAGAACAGATTAGCAATAATGGGTGTAACTAGGTGAGCTTTCGCATCGTTTATCTAAAGCGAAATTCGTTAAACTTCTTTCATTCAGAGGAAGTATCGAGCAGCTGAAGAATTTGGTCCATCTTATCGCTGGAGGACAAATCGAAGCACCTGATTATCGGGTGTATCCTATGAATCAGGCATCACAGGTGCTGCCACTGGCACTACTGGAGCCGCTAGTTTTATTTGTGACTTGTAGAGCACTCTGTTCATATCTATCTGTTGTATTACGTCTTATTGCCTATAGGTACTGAAGCAATTGTCGATGTCAGAAGTTGAAGGACGGGCCATTCTGGAGGTGTGCGATCCTGAGGCAGCTCTCGATCCTTCTAAGGCTGCAGCTTGAATAATTTTAGAAAGTGAGCGTCCCCTGTTTGGGAAGAATAGGGCAATTTGCATTGATAGCTCAAATACTTGTGTCGACTTGTCATGCTCTGTTGATTTGATTTTCTCCCTCATTTTGATAAGATTTCTTTGATCGATCGAATATTTTGCCGCACTTTTTATCACTAAAATAATTCTCTTTGAATCTTGCATTTGAAGTTTGTAGATGTAGATTTACGATTGTATAAATACAGATTTATAATCTAAGTCAAAAGGAATGTTTTGCGCCATAGATTGATGTATTTTGTATGTTAGCTCGTTTACAATAATATTTAGTAAAGATACATATTTTGAGAATCACATGACTACATCAATTAGCCCGTGTTGCGGTTTTATATAGGATGCGATGAGCAGGAAGTGGAATTTCAAACAAGAGTCGGTTTCATTTGAGGCATACTTGAAGCGACAGAAATTGTTATCCATGAAGTTTGAAATATTGTCACAGACGGGTCGAGCTCGCCATGGTCTGTTGACTTTACCACATTCTGCTGTCAAAACTCCAGTATTCATGCCCGTTGGTACGCAAGGAACTATGAAGGTGCAGCTTTGAGTATCTTCTCATTTTAAAGTCTTCTGCAGAGCTGTGCTTATAAAAACCAAGTAATGAGCACAAATTTTGCGGAGTGCCAGGCTTTGTGAACGAACCCAGACATTCATTTGCTATGTAGTTCCACCACGCTGTAACTGGATGGGCTATGTTGCGCTCAAAATGCTTGAACATAAATACCCTTTGATATAATGGGATTGGCGGCTGGGAGGCGGGGCTTCGAGGTCTAATCAAGGGTAGAGAATGATCGCAGAACACGCTCGAAAGAGAGACGTAGACGGCGTCGCGAGCGCGAGCGATCGCCTTCCGTCGCCAATCCCTTTGAATGAAAGGGTGATTCTAGGAATAGAGCGACGAACTATGTTGTGCACTCAACAGAGAACATTAAAGGCGTTTTTCATTAAAGAAGTGGATGCAGGTGAAGGGCCCAAGGCA